ATTTGGAGTCGAGGGGCCAGTCTGGATCCACTGGAGACAGAAACCGTGGGTGGCTGGTGCTCAGCGAGGCGAAACCGGGTGGTTTCTGCAACTCTTTGCGCTGCTCACACCCTTCCCCCTCTGTGTTTTGGGGTGGTAGAGGGCACAGCCGGGCTTGTCGCCACCTGCCTTTTTGGAGAGGAAGTTGTACAAACCATTTCAGGCCAGCAGTGTGGGAGGCGATGCCCTGGAGGGCTACAAATCGTTGGTAACCCTGTGTGCTAGCCCCTCGCCTGCCCAGGGAAGCCCCCCACCCAAGGGCCCCTTCTCAGAGGCAGGCGGGCGGAGTTGAGGGCAGGGTGCTCCTGTGGCCCTGTGGTCAGGTCTCTGTAGTGCAAGCAAAGCCACAGCCACTGGAAGGACCTCCCCCTGCCCGCCCCTCCTGCGCACCTGCAGGAGGGGTGACACATTCCTGGTCTCTGCTGACTGGCAGTGAGGCAGGTGGCGGTGGGAGCCCCAGGCCAGGAGTGCAGACTCTGGAGACCTGGTTCGGACACCATCCCTGCGCTGCCCTGTGGCCAGGGGCACAAAGCGGCCCACCCTTTGCAGGGCACGAAGCTCCCGGCAGGAGCTCTCTCATTTCAGGCAGTCCCTGAAATGCCCCTGCCCCAGGAAAGGACACACCTTCTCCAGTGTCACTCAGATTGAAGGGTCTGGGTCCCCCTCTCCTCCGCCCTAAGCCTCTCTCAGTACAAACCAACCTGACGCTTCCATAGATCAGGGGTGGTGACAAATCCTGTCTTCCTCCCCCAAATCATGACTGAGCGTACAAGGGCGAAGGTCATGTCCCAGGTTGCCTCACTGGAGAATCTGCCCCCATGGCCTGGGACAGGCCACTGATCAGGAAAATTGGACCTCTGGGGAGAAGCCACATTTGGGCAGCACCAGACAGACCCCAACACTTCCTTTAATACGTGGAGGGGGACCAAGCGGCTCCCCGAGAGCACAGTGTGGGGCCAGATTGCCCCTGGAATTGGGTCCACTAAGGCATCTCACAACCCTTTGTCTGGGGGGTGGCGTGGGGCAGCTTGCTGGGCCCTCCTTCCTGATGGAGGGTGCAGCAGACGTCCAGCCTGGCTCGAAGTTCCATCCGCTAACCCCCGCTGCTCACCCCTAGCAGGCCTATTAGGTTGTGCCTGTTGGCTGAGGTCACCCCTCAGGAAAGGAGCTGGCGACAGGCAGACAGGCACGCTGTTGCTGTCCCGAGGAAGGAGACCCTCTGCAGCCCTATTTAGCACACTGTTTAATCACATCCTGTCTCCGCCCCTGGAATGCCAGAGGCCTCTGTAAAAAAATTCACTTGGGCAGGATCCTTGTCAGGCCCATCCTTTCAAGCTGGAGCCCCTCTCCTCCTCCTTTGTGAGCACCCGCCGCCCCTGGGGCTGCAGGTGGACAGGGAGGGGTGGGTGTGACCTGGCTCAGGCCCTTAGCTGCTCTTTTCCCAGGTTTAAAGTCGTGTGAATAGACACGGAAAACTGGTGTTCATCTGTCCACAAATCCATTTATTCATTCTTTCATTGATTTGGTAAATGCTTTTCAAGCACTCCTAGCATGGGACAAGGTGCTGGGGACACAGGGACGAACAAGGCCCACTGGCTGCCCATCTGGAGCCTCCTGGGCACACATGGGAGCGGCCTCAACCCAGATTTAGGTCAGGAGGGCCTCATGGAGGAAGGGACATGTCACCTGGCCCTGAGGACGAGGAGGAGTCCGCCAGATGAAGAGGAAAGGGGAGAGTCCAGTAGGTTCTGTCCATGGGGGAGGAGCAGCCTGAGGCCAGGATTGGTAGGAGAGTCCTGTTGTTCTTCCTTGTCTCCATCAGATCGTCCCTGTGCCCCTTGTCTGGTGACGTGGGTCTTGGCACACAGGAAACGTTTACCAGATACTGGTTGATTGAGTGGATGAAAGAACGACCTAACTTACAGCTGGGAGAGACTGATGTTGCTGCAGTGTGAGGCTGTGGGTTTGAGGGACAAGATGAGCGAGGTCAAGAGCTGGCAGAAAACCCAGGTGCAGCCACCGGCGGGGGGCGGGGGGGGCGACAGAGG